TCTTTATAATTTAATTATTAAAATAATTGTTAGCATAAATGTTATGTTAACGCATTATGATAACAAAGAAACAGAGTATACTATGTTGTAAATTATAACTCACTATAACTTTATATATAATCAAACAATAATTTTTCATTAGTGTGGAATTATCGTTTACAGATTTTATGTCTACTTTATATTTTAAATTATTATCTTTTAATTTATGATTTCCACATATTATTAATGGTTTATATATATAAATAATTATTATAATTATCAAAATATATTATTATTTTATTGAATGTGAATTGTGTTTAAATGAAATAAAACAAATACTTTTATGATAAGTTTTAACATATGCCTTATTTATTCTATAATATGCCATAATGCAGAATTATATATAGGTTCGTGTATTCTATGAATTTTATTATATATTTTTCTCAAAATAAAATATAATCATGGATAGACGTTCTTTTATTAAGCACTTTATTTCCCCTTATTGACGTGCTAAAAATATAATAGACAAACATAAAATAATTTTCATTCATATGGGGTACATATATCACCTATTTTCACATAATTTTGGAGATTTATATTAGCTTAATATAGCATACAAAAATATTAATGTCATGAATAAAAACTAAGAATTATTATTTTGTAGATCTAATACAATAAATAATATATATATATTTACTTCTTTTATATGATTTCTGTTTGAAATTTTTTCCATGCAAATTTTAATATTACAGTAGTATAGATTGATATAGATAGAAATAGTTTATATAAAGTATTATCTGAAGTTACACAGCCTTCCTATGTACCAGTATAATGGAATGAATACTGTATTTCGTTATTATTCGTAATATAAAACGTTAACATATAATGATACATTACATATATAGAATATTGTATGTTACAATAAAACAAAGAAATTCATTAATAGTATGTTTTTCAAAATTTACACTTTTTGAAAATGGTATTCCGAAAATTGTTATATTATTAGCTTTAGACTTTATATTATTAAGATTACTAATTAACATTTATTTTTTTTTAGTTATTCTATAATAATTATTTTATTTTTGTATGCTGTTATGAGAAAATTGCTTTATCTGATATATAACATAGTTTTGTATGTAATCTAAAAAAAATAAAATCTTTGAATTATATATTTCATCGTAAAATTCGGAGGAATTATATAACATATTGAATCTTCTCTTCATTGAACTAATTTTATATGTTTTAACTTAATATAACATGAGGATGTAAGCAAAAAAGTTAGGTAAAGATCATTTGAAGAATTTTTTTTTTTTTTTATTAGTCCGTATTGAGTGCCTTATATTCATGTAGAGTATTTCCATGAATTTCCAAGTATATTAAAAAACACACATATTGTTTATAATATATCCTCGTTTTCTTTTTATTACGTATAAAATTTTTACTTCATTATTTTATATAATAAATATGTTTTAGTTTTTTATTTTTTCTTTATTTAGATCTATTAATAATACGCTTATTAAAGCAACAATAAGAATGAAAATTATGCTATTGCTAAATGAAGTATTAAAACTCTTTTCATAATTTCAAGAATATATATAATTAAGAATTCGTTTAAGTTTCATATTCTCTTACTTTACGATCTAGCATTTATATATCCTTAATAGTAGAACATCATTTTAACGTTAACTAATATTTGTACATTTAGTGTTTTGTAAAATAAAATATACATATAAATATTATTTTTTATTAAATTATAAATGAAAAAAACATTTAGTTCTTTATTTATCTTTTTTGAGGTATTTATATATTTAATCTTGTTCTAATGTTAATAATACTATGTATATATATATACTTTTTTTAGCACATATTTCTTAGAATATTTTTTTTAAATATATAGGAATACACTAGATAATACTTCTGTAAGTATTTCTTGTTTAATAATTATTTGTTATAAATCACATATCATGTATGTTTATATACATTTTTACATATTAAATGACATTCAATTTGTATTCTAATAAAAAAAAATGAAATCATTACAGTAAATTTGTATTTATAAAAGTCAAAGTCTAGGAAGTCATAATATTTTATAAAAATAATTTCTTAACATAGTAAAATTACAATGATTGAAAATCTCATTAAGCACTCTAGAAATAATGAACATATTATATAAAGATTCTTATAATAAACATAATCTTTATAATTAGTTAAAATATAACATTTATGCAAAATTTACAATTTCAAATTTGTATAGAATTTATCAATTTATAAATAAAATTATTTAATGCTTTAACTCACTGATTAATTGTGTACTTATTTTTTAACGTTTTAATAGTAAATACACTTTTAATCCAAAAAATAAATTTTCGTAGAAATTAAGTAAAATTTACAGTAAATCTTATGTCTTGGGATATGACGTACCTGTTATTTATATGCAGATAACATGGAGTTTTGGAAATCAATAAAAATATTAAGCAATATTTGAATTACACAAAATGGAATGATTCATATAGTATTGTACTTCAAAAGTAAACATGGTATTTTAATGTATATAATCTATTTTATTTACAATTTAGTTTAAAATTTGTAATAGTAAATTTATTTCTCATAACCAAAGTGTTATCATGTGTTTTGAAAAATTATAAAAATAATTAATAATGCACACAAAAAAAAATGAAAATAAATATGAAGACATCTTTTTTAATAATAAACTAGAAATTAAATTAGTCTAATTTACAATATAATAAAATTAATATCTTATTATTATTAATGTATTTTTTTTTTACTTTTATTTGAACTAATAAGTGTGTTATGTTAAAAATTATAAAGAATAATAAACATAATATATCATTAATAATTATATTCTTTACGTGGATACATATAGCAATAGTATTAATTCGATATTCTTGTAATATCAGTATATTACAATGTAATAATATATGGATTCATTATATTTATTTAAATATATAAAAATGTATATATTTATAATATATTACTAAATTGCACGAAAGTTATACTAAAATGAAAAACAATGTAAAATGATTGATATATATTTATGAACAAATTTAAATATTACTCACACAAATAACAATAAATGATAGGATTATATGAATAGAATTATTTAAATATTTTACATAAATATATGTTAAAGGCGATATAATAAATTATGATTCTCCATAAATAATTATAAATTCTTGAACCTAAACATGAATACTAAAAACTAAACATTCCCATCACTTAATTATTCATATTTATATGCTTGTTTCAAAGTAAATTATAAACATAGATATGAACATGTTACTTCAAAAGTGTTCATTTTGTCTTTATACATATCTTATAATATTTTATAGTCCATAATATTCTATTATAATAGTATTGTATTTAGCATAATATTACAAAAGTATATTTATTATTATCATTTTTAGGTATATACTAAATTAAAAAATATTTTTAATAATTTGCCTCTATATTTATAAATGATTGTATTATCCTAGGGCTATAGTGGTACAATAGATTAACGTATAAAAAAATAAAATAAAATATTGCAAGAATTTTATGGAAATAACAAATTCTAAAATTACGTGTATACTGCATCAATGTAATATATATTATAACATTTTTAAATTATTAAATAATATTACAATAAAAATAAAAATATTTTTACCATTGATTCATATATACAAAAATAATGACTAAGGATAGTGAAATGAATCCTGAGGTAATATATTAATCTTAATAAAAATTAGAACTTATATTACATAGTTTTAAAATATTGTTCATTAAGAAAAAAAAAGTAACAAATTTTTTCATAAAACTATTATTTAAGAAGATTATATAACTAATGAATTCGTTATTAGCCTGATTTTAGGGATATATTTCCCCACTTCTCAGGAGAATATAATGATGCTATATACTACTATGGAAAAGATAATCTATCATGGTTGTCAGATGCATGCACAAAATTTTGCACAGATGTAACAGGAGGTAGATGTAATAATTTCATTATCCATTGCACAAATTTTGGACGATTTTTGTATTATATAAATTTAAAAAAATATGATAAATATACAAAACAAAGATGTAAATATTATTTTTACAAGTTTATGTTTGAATTAGGACAAAAAGGTATTGATTGTGGAGGGATAAAATCATGTTACGAAAAAATGATTGAGAAATTAAAAATTAGCAATTATTTAAAGGATAATCCTAGTTGTGAGGCATATTTTGAAGAATTTGATAAAAGATATTTGGTTAGATTTAGTAAACTCGATAAAATATCTGACTATATTCATAAATTAAGATTAAAATATTATGATACTTGCTGGTCATATATTTACAGAGAATGTGATGAACTCACAAGATCCTTAATGTCAAGTGAATGTAACGGTAAAAGAAAATTTTATGACATGCTTGCAAATGTAGTGAATACCTATTATATATTATGTCCTGACAGCAAAATAACATTACCTCCCTACATTGAACACAAAAAAAATAAAGCGAAAATGACAATGTCAACCCATAGTCAACCAGATGGGACTATGGAACAAACATCACATGCATTAGTCACAATACAGAGTTTTGAAGAGGTTCCAGATAATGCATTCAACTCAGAAGAATCCGAAAGAATATTATCAAATGAAATGCCAGATTCAGAAAACAGTCCAGGTGTAATCAGTGGCTTTTTTATATCATTATTTATAATATTCTCGATTTTATTCATTTTATCGAAGGTTAAAAATATGTTTATTTTTATTAATGTTTATAGAATTACGGTTTACATTAAACGGAATCTTAACAAATTTTAAAAAAATTAATGTCAAATATATAAAAATATGATATTGTTACTTTTTTTTCAGTATACAAATTTTTATTCAGTTCTACAATCAAGGATAAGGAGAATCAGAAGGATTTTCGACAGAAAATATAGTGAACATAAGAACTTCATGTATTCATTAAAAAGGGAAAGCAGAAATACAGTCTATGATAGTTTTCAAATAGCATATCGTTCAAACGATTACCAATAATAAATGTATAACAACTGTTCCTAAAATTACCAAGATATGTTACCAGAAATAATATATGCGCTTGGATTTTATCACTCAAGGCAAAAATAAATAAAATAAATTAAGTATTTATGCAAAAAAATATTCCTTAATATAATAATTATATTATAAAAAATATAAATAAGCTTTTTGTAATTTATGGTGCTAAATAAAATATCATTTGGGGCCCAATTCCTGAAACTGTAGAATACATATAGTTAATATGAAAAATTAATGCTGTTAAGAATATAATCATGAATTTAAAATTGTTACATGAAATAATTAAATTCTTTTTAATAGTATTATTTAAATATAAAAAATAAAAATATTATCACAGAACAACTTCTCTCATGTAATAATTATTTATAAAAAAAAAAGTTAAAACGTCCATAGTTAAATAATTAAAGCAGATATTATAGTAAGGAAATGTATTGTCTATAATTAATATGAGGAATACAATTGTTTAATATAGCGACATGATATTTCAAAAGTTTATGTGTTAATAATATAAAAAGAAGAAAACTTGCATTTATATAACTATTTGTAAGAATATGTATTATATCTTTGAAATGGGAAGCATATTCAGGGTTCTTATTTATGTAGATAATGCATCGCATGTGCCAATTTTTTAGAATATGTGTTTGAGAATCAATGACAGTACAAAATATATATATTTTACGAAAGTATATAAATCAGTTAAACATGTGTCGTTAATTTAAATAACATTAGTAGATGAAGTAAAATGTATTCAGTAAATTATTACGTAAACACTTTTTCGTTGAATAAAAGAAGAATATTTGTTATTATGCATTTTTTTTCCTTTAACTCCAATGTTTTCCACCTTGACATTACTATATATATACTATAAATAATCTAGACAGAAACTAATAAGGGAGTTTCATTTTTTCAGCATTAATTTTTCACTATTTATCCATATATCATTACATCATGGTGTCTTATATGTTTAATTTCTTCATGTTTCTTATGTTAACGAATAAA